TACGGATAGCTCAAAGATGCCTGCATCATCTTTGGGGATGATTACTTGATACTTACTCTCAGCCAATTCAATGAAGAATTTGTATGAAGGGCCCAACAATTCGGTTCTTTCATAGTGTATGTTATACTAGTTGTCTAAGTGAAGTACCCAAATGAATACTCAAACTTGTTCCCCCGGGATCTTCAAAGTCAAGCTCCTTACAGAATTTACAGGAAAAAAACTACCTCTTTACCACTTAATTATTTAACTCCAGCCACTTGTTAGCCAATCATACCTCTTAGGGTCAAAAGTTCTTACTCCTGATTCGGCAATAGATATTATACAGAGTAAAACCGAATAGCGGTAACACTCCAAATGCACGGGAATTGATCGCCATAACCCAATGCATGCTTAGCACGAAACTGGGAATTCCAACAGTATGGTATATCCTTGCAAGCAGTTGAAACCTGACCCTGACAGCGGCCCGGATCGAAACTGTTACCTTTCCATTGCATCTACTTCAGTCTAATGTGGTTGCGAGCATCGTGACTTTGCACTGACACAAGGGAAACCCCGCATCCTCCCCGCAACCCCACAGTGTGGTATATATTCCTTCTACAATAACTATGAAACGACAACATCTTCACTTGTTTCATATTCTCTTATAACTGAATTTAGTCAGCGATTAGTCAAATGCTATTTACATATCTCAAATAATATAAAGCCTAAATAAAATCATTAAACACCAGTGCGAGGTGGCACTCTCGTAGTTTCCGTTCGCCGGAGGCAAATGACTCTGGACAGTAAATACCCAAGATCGTGAGCCCTCCAATGCCAATATCTAGCGTCTAGCCGTTGTTATGGATAACTAGAAATGGCTGGCTTTAGAATAGTCTACCGGCAAGCAGTTTTAGCCTTTACCAAGCCCTCCGGTGTCCATCAATTGGGTCTTAGTATACGGTTAAATGCCTAGTTGTTGAGGGGCCACGACCAGGGGATATACAGTAGTTATACAGGACTATGGTGTACCACACTAGAGGCGACTTATCGGTTGCAGGACTCTCACTTATGTTGCTATCTAGTCCGCGCTCTCTAGTACAACCTGCCTCTAATTGATGACGTTGCGAAAAGATACAATCGTATCTTTTCAAAGCGCAGTAAATAGAAATGGACAGATAAATCGTCCCTACCATATAAAAAGCAAAAAACTAAAATGGTTTTTACTCCGTGAATCAGCAAAAGATGACCTATCCCGCATTCGCATGTCATCCTCTCCTGTAACGTATGACGGCTCATAATACTCCGTACGGGCGTACTTTGTAGGCCTTACATCGGCGATACGGAGCAACTCCCAATGAGGCAAAATGTGGGTAATTACCTTTCAGTTCGCCATCGTCTTTACGGCGACCGATACAATACTGTATGATTTGGTTATCAAAATCCATCTAAAGATTCAAATATCGCGATGACTCTAAAATCCGTTCGAAATAATCAAGTTGCAGAAAAAGTTGCAATAATATACCTTTTCTATTCCGCGAAATAGCACCTGGATGCGAATAGCTCGTGACAATACCGACAGGGTTAACGATTAAACCCCAGATCCGGGGGGGAGGCTTTGGAAGGCAGGGGTTCACTCCAACCCAGCGAGCCCAGCCATCTGATTAAAGGCTAGCTCTACGCCGTGGCCCTCCCCAAAGCCATCAAACTAAGCTTGATTCCCACTGGATTGCTTGTCTTCGGTACGCGAGGTGGGATTTGTGTTGCTTGTGGAGTCTTTCAATAATGGTTTATGTCAAGGAACGCGATGATTGATGAGACTGGAATTGACACAATGGAGCGAAGCCCGGTAGCTTTTATCGTTGACACTCTCTTTGCGCATGATGACATTCAATAGTTTTCGTATGTTCACATGCAAGATAAGAGGCATTCCAGGCGAGTTATGCAGTGATGTACATGCAAGCAAGCAAGCGCGATACTGTACTGTAACTCTGATTGCTCTTTTCTTCTGGAAAGAGCACACCCTCATTCCGCTGAGACCTAATAGTTTTGCAAGGAGCTACCATACGGACACGTAAGGAGCTGACCATGGATTTCTGCTGGACACGGTCGTATTAGCCTAAAACAGGAGGGTAATATCCAGGCCTGCTGATATACCCAGGAAGAGGAATGGATGTGCTGGTGGGTAATCCGTGACGCCCGCTTGATTGGTGGACTTTTATCTGGGGATTCGACCGAGCGCCTTGCTTTGTCTTGCGGAGAAATTATGGGGCGAAATACTACAACCACAACTCTCTCTCCCCCAAGCATAGAGCCTAAACTTGCGGGGAGGGATGGAGGAACTTGCTGCTGCTGCTCCAAGGGTGCTGGATGGTACTGTGGTACGGTACGGTACCAAAACATGCAAGTCCCTTCTTTAATAAAGTCGCCCTGGCCCTGCTCCCGCATGACCTTTTTGTCTACTTCGTTATTCGATCTTCCGCGGCTCAGGTCAATCGTTCGCTGAATCGCTATCGCCATGGGGAAGAGCTTTGCATATACTTTCCTGCACAGGATTGTGCGCAATGAGGCCATCAAGCTGGATCCGGAGGAGATCTATAACTGGAGGGTCTTTGCTCTGGCTGCGGCAGTAAGGACTTTCCTTCTCGTTTTTTTTTACCCAAATATTTAGAAACGTGTAAACTTTTGCGATGGCACGAAAAACAAAAAAACAAAAAAACAAAAAAAGGCCCGGCGCGATGAAGACTGACTGGGAGATCTCTAGGCATGTTTCGGTGGTACTTTGTTTGGTATGGACACCGGCATCATTGGAGGAGTTTTGACTCTGCCGGATTTTGGAAAGTGAGAAACCCGCCGCAAAATTAGGTCGTTGGAGGCTTTCTAACCAGCGAAATAGGGAATTCCACTACGATAATGCCAAGGATCCCAATCTCTCTGGAAACCTCGTCACGGTGATGCAGGCTGGTGCTTTCTTGGGCGCGTTGGTTGCGAACCCTTTCGCAGACAAACTGGGCCGAAAGCCAGGACTGTTGATTGTTTCGGTTTTTGCATTCATCGGTGGTCTGCTCCAGGCATTTTCCTATGGCCATCTCTCCTGTTTCTATATTGGAAGGTAAGGCAGCCTCCCAAAACGTGGATGAAGAAGATGCGCTAATACACCTTGATTTCAGATTTGTTGAAGGTCTCGGATTGGGAGGCGCTACCATGCTTGCACCGACATACGTGTCCGAGAACTCACCCCGTGCCATTAGAGGATTGCTTGTTGGCTTCTATCAACTCTTCGAGACCATGGGTGCGATGGTTGCCTTTTTCATTGACTACGGTTCATTGCTCCACATTAAGGTCAGTATTTATGTTATATACTCAACAGACGCAAAGACTTTCAAGCTAACATTTCTGGCTTTTAGGGCCACGCATCGTGGATGGTTCCCCTCGCTATGCAATCCCTCCCTCCACTGCTCATTTTTGTTTCCATCATATTCTGTCCAGAATCACCTAGATGGCTAGCAAGCAAGGATAACTGGGAGGCGGCATCTTCAACCTTGGCAAGCGTCAGACACTTGCCAGTAGACCACCCATATGTGCAGCAGGAGCTTTTGGAGCTAAGGACACAACTTGAAGAGGAGCGCCGCTCTATCCACGGCGAAGGCTTTTGGGCAACGCAGAAGGAGTGTTGGTTGATCCCAGGTAACAGAAACCGAGCTCTCATGGCCATTGCACTCATGACATGTCAACAATGGACTGGGGTAAGTTACTACGAAAGCCCACTAAATCTGTCTTGTTTTCAAAAAGCTAACCATGCTATCTCCAGACAAACGCAATCAACTACTACGCTCCTACCATCTTCAAAAATCTGGGTATTACTGGAAACTCGCAATCGCTCTTGGCAACTGGAGTGTACGGTATCGTGAAGATGACCTCCTGTGGTATTTTTATCATCTTCTTGGCGGATACGCTCGGTCGACGATGGTCGCTCATATGGACTGCATTCGCCATGGGCATCTTCATGTACTACCTTGGCTTTTACGTGCGATTTGACCCTCCTAAAACCGGCGCACCCGTCCCTGCCGCTGGTTATGTCGCGTTGGTCATGGTGTATCTCTTTGCTGCAGCCTTCCAGTTCGGTTGGGGTCCGGTGTGCTGGATCTATGTCTCTGAGATCCCCACCAACCGCCTGCGTGGATACACAGTCTCACTGGCAGCAGCTACGCAATGGATATTCAACTTGACCGTAGCCAAGTTGTCGCCCATTATGCTTTCCCACGCCGGTGGACACACTGGTTATGGCACTTACTTCATCTACGGCTCCTTCTGTTTCGCCATGGGTGTTGGAGCTTTCTGGATCCCTGAGACCAAGGGTGTAAGTACAATGATTGATCCCCAGTCTCTTTTCTTACAAACCTAACATTTCTGTCACAGTTGTCCTTGGAGCGTATGGACGAGCTATTTGGTGTGGCGGACTTCTCTAACATCGAGGATGTGGGTCTTGCTGGGCAGAATAAGATCGAGAGGACTGAGATCGAAACTTCTCACATGGAGAAAGTTTGATTTTGTAAATTGTTTAGCTAGCGATTCAGCTTTGCGCGGAGTCTAGTCGATTGGCCTTTCTTGTGGAGGCTTCATAACGACCGGCTGCGCCTCTTGTGTCAGGTTTATTCTCTGTCAATACTAAATATGATCAATAATGGTTCCATGTGCATGCTTAATTTTATGATGTCCATAATTCCCAATCACATCTATTTCCTCAGTAACAAGTTCATAGAGCCTACTAGTATGAATCTAGTGTCGGAGGAGCAGATTCTCATATAATAACGTCTGAGCAGTGGCATCGTCGCATTCGGTACATGATATTATTGGGTACAATTTATATCAAGACAGTAACCAATATCAAGTGCTTACTGGGATCCTTGTAAAATTAAAAGAAAGCTTTTTGTGTGCAATGGACTGTCTAGAATTAGGAAGTGATTTCAAGAAAGCCACAGGTGACATGTCCTCAAAAAAATGAGGAAGAAAAAAAATATTGATGGTCACTACGAGGGTCGAACTCGCGACCTTGGCGTTATCATATTACAGATATTAGCACCACTGATAGACGGATTAGTATGTGCATTGGTCGACTTCTGGTGGAGTGATGAATCTTACCGCTCTAACCAACTGAGCTAAGCGACCAGGTTGTTGTGACGGCGGGGCTAAACTGGTTTATCAAGACTTCCGCCTCTGGTACTGGTATCCTACCATGGCGAGCATGGCCATGTATTGAAAATAGCTACAATATAGTAATATCAGCTAGAATTTGCTAAATAGATCTAGATTTACCAAACTGTCGTGGTGCAATTGTAGCCCGTAGACAAAATTGACAGGTACGTGACACACTCAACCCCTTCCAAACTTAATACACGAGGTTTGCAAATCACTATAGTGTGATGTGAGAGGATTCAGCTCAGGTACTTATTTGCTATTCATAAATTATAACCAGGTAATTGATTAAGTACTGTATAAGTCTCTAGCGGACTGAGCCCTAGAGAGCATTGCATTGGCCAGACACTTCCATGTAGCTATTCGACTCCACAATTTAGTATCTCAGTATCCTATTTGCACTTTCATATGCAATTTTCTCTCCCGGAGTCTTGGCTTTAGTTACATCAAATGGTCCATAAGCCATAGCATGGCGACCGGCAGGATTAATTGAGTCCAACTCTGCTCTACCAGCATGTTTTGATTCCCCAACGCCGCCAGGGAAATCTGGTGGGGAAGTTCCTTGTTCAAAACTTGCCTTCTGATCCCTTAGGTATTCCACATTAATATCACATAAAGGAAGAATGGGAAGATAGAAGATACTGCCATCCTCTGTACCTCCGTGCTCAGGCTCCACCATATGAGCCACATCACAATGCCAGAATACGGCATCTCCGGGTTCGACTGCCGGGATACAAACGAAGGAGGGTGCAAGGAGATGGGGATACTCTTCAGCACTGAGTTCTTGCCCCGCACCCATGGCTGCTCCGTGGAACTTTGATGTCTCATTATCGGATTTCCAGACCCCATTCTCTAATTTGACAAATGGACGCATAATCAGATAAGCAGTAGATGCGAGTAAGTTGGGAAATACGCGAAGAGTACCTGATCCCGGGGCACAATCGGAAAGTGACAACCATCCCTACATATATCTTTACGTCAATGTTTGAACTGTATGGTATACTTGGGAAGGATAGAAGAATACGCACTTGATAAGAGCGGAATATTGAGCACCCGCCTGGCCCATGATGGATGTCAGGATTAGCTTTGATACGTGGAGTTACGTTGAACGCATCGTGATTCTCCCAGTCGCCCTTCAAGATCTCGGTATAGCATTTTCTGTATTCGTTGTCTTCCCATCGTTCAAGAGAGCCGCCATCAAGATGTGGTCCAAGGTTGAATGATTTATCGCCTGGCTATACCTAGTAAGTTTTGAATTGTAACCAGGACCATATACTTACTGTTCGAATCCTCAATCTGTCTGCATATGACAATGGCTCAGATAAGACAATTGGATCCTCAGGCTGTGCAGACCAAACAGCATTCATGGCTCTATGCGCTGCAAGCATATTTGGGTGAGACCGTGCAGCAACCTGTGCTTTGCTCCAGTATGTCTCATAAACTTGAATATTATTTGCAGGAAAGCCGCCGGTAGATGGATTTGATGAGATATATTCACGAACATCTTTCTTCCATTCCAAAGCCTGTTCTCTCGGAACAATACCTCGCACAACAAGTGTTCCACATTTCTTCAGTTTCTCCTCTGCGTCTACCGGTAGCTTTCCACCGTTAGCCTCTATTTCTGAGAATTGAACTTCTGGGACGAGCTTCGTTCCAAGTTCTTTGATCTGTGGAAGAGTTTCAGTCTCCAATTGACGGATCAACCGATTCCACCCCTCCAAAATCTTGTTTTCATGTCCCTGAGATAAATTTTGTTTGAGAATAGCATATTGATGTGGCAGCTCGGCTGGACCAGTTGACAAAGAGGTAAAAGCCGTCCCGATAGAGTCACCAGCTCGGTTTCTAGTCATGCTAGCCATCCTTAAAGGCTTGTGGTCCGCAAGCGCGGCGGTCGTAGGTAGAACTGTTGCTGCCATGATTTACTCACTCTGAATATCTACTAGGTTGAGGTTCTGGACCATTAATTGTCAGGGTTTATAAAATGACCGTCTCAAGGCACTTGTTACTGTGACTAAATTGGACCTAACGCTAATGGCTATAAATGACACATTAGTAAAATATACTAATAGATATACTATCCAATTATAACTTCAGTAAAATCAGTTGGCTTGAAATTTCTACATCTGTGGCTTAAATGTAACCCTGAAAATGTAACGTTAGTTATGATACGATTTTGAAAAAGATATCCCACTCTTGGCTCTTGGATACGGATCCTCCGAGTGATAGCCCAATACGGACCCGAACAGATACTTTCCCTTTCTTTACCCGATGTGGAATATGGACGCGTGATTATATCAAATCAATTAAGAATATGTGTTCACTTTGTGGCAATCTGGAAATATATAGGTCATAGGACTTTTGGAATCATCCATCTCTTATCGAGAGTTGGCAGAGATCTTGTCTCTAATATTCCAAGCTGAATCGCCATGATGCCCGTTTACGATTGCAGTTCATTATAAGCCCAAGAACTAAATGCTTGAAGCTAAAAGTAATACATAATATTAGCTTGTTCAGCATTCTACCCAAGAATGGAGGGATTCTTTTACCTGCCCGTATCCTTGGCACCATTTAGGCATGTAGAAGGAGGCGTTATAGAGACCACCACTCCATTCACAGGTCCTAAGTTTGTAGATATAGCGTACATCAGACTATACAAGCTCACCTTCTCATTATCAAACACATACTATGATTTCATTATCTGACCTCGAATAGCAAGTCATCCACGTTACGGCCGTAACTCATTAAGATGCATGCTCTTTCGATACAGTCTATTCTAACAATCGCGATGCAGATTCGGGGATAAATCCTTTAGGTTTATCACACACTCTTAACATTCATTATGTATATGTTTGATGTAGCTGTATTATTAGCCTGGCAATTTACTTTTTGACGGACTTCACAACTCAGTTGAAGCCTTATCCCAGTCTATCCGATTCTTCAGGTAGTGTGTGTGACAATAGATATATCGCTGATCCACTATTGAATATACTAATAGCTCCGTCCCACTAGGTGAATACTACTTAGGTGTCGACGCCCAATTAGGTGGTGAGTATCACTCAATAGTTTTCAACGACATCTTTTAACTCTTTGGAATAGGTCGTGACCAGAGGAAGCTATTCGATGTTGCGAAAGAATGGTTGCCCAGGATTGGTCACAGGAAAGTATGCTGCTTCTTATGCACTACATATCGACTAGATTCTTTAACTAACTACTTACGTCTAGCGTACACACCTAATCAACAGAATAGTCTTAGGTCTTCACAGTGGCAAGATGAGTTCGAGCGACCCAGGTAGTTACCGTTGCCGCTGAATTGTATCGTCGCCGCTGAATTGTATCGTCAAATGATTAACCCGATTTGGACAGTAAGATTGATCTATTGGATCCCCCGGATACTATCGCCAAAAAGTGTTCGGAATGCAATCACTGCTTGCAAAGTTATTGAAAAGATGGCATTATTGCTCTAGTTGAGTTTGTGCTACTGCCAACCTCTGCTTTATCCGGTCATAGAGAGTTCCATGTAGACCATGGAACGGACGATCTGGAACCCCTGATCTCCACGGACATCAAGCAGGCACATGAGGACTATCGAAACGATATTTGTAATTTTGATAATGATTACTTAGTAGATAGATACTGAGCTTTGGTACCAGCGACCCCTCAACTTCTGAAGCCTGCTGTGGCAACAAGAATTTAATAAGCTACTTAAGCGTATTGAGGAAGCATATGGGGCTTCACGGGATGGCTAGAGTAGTAATCCATCAAGCACGTGATTCCATATCGCGACTAGGATAGCTACCTTGGCTTTTATTCGCCCCGCCCCTGCACATCCCCCTCATTGGAGCATTATTTCCCTTGTTAATATTGTAAGGCTGGAGTTTACTTGGAAGACTAGAGCGGACTCCATTCTTCATTGTATGCCGTAGTATTGGCATCCCTTGTTAATATAGTAAGGCTTAGAACTCAACCATACTTGACACTCAACCCTCCCGATCTGTTCGATCCAAGGAATGGAAACCTCACGATATCAACTTGTAGACTCCCTTTACGGTCCTGGTACAGTCGGTGCATGGCTCTTAACACTGTGCGCCGTCCTCATCAGCTGGACGCTCAACAAATCCACTCGCCGCAAAGATAGCATCTCCATCGACTTCATTGGCGTGATATTACTTCCTTTGGTGGCAGCGGGCCATCTCATCTTTCAGGTGTCGAGGCTGCCTTACTCTGTCGCTGAGACAATTACTTCGGTGGATGTTGAGATCCAGAAATATGCATATGCACTCGAAGCCCCATTAAACATCTGCGAAACATTCTCCATGGTAGCTTTAATTGCGGCAGCTTGTTGTGGGCCATGGTGGGATGGTGACCCGAAGTGGCGACGACTGGCCGCGGTGCTTGTAACAGGATTGTTAAGTTGGGGAACTGAAAACCTCATGTTCGTCATGGCAACGTTGAGGGGTGTCAAGGCCAGCGATGTGACACTGAGTAGGCCATATCTGTTCCTTATTACGCCTATTGTTGCGATAACTTGGGGGTTTCTTATACTATGTGTTCTACTTTGGGTGTTGATTTGGAGCATAGGCGGAATTAATATGCAATCGGCTCAAAAGTCCGAGGCTGATCTAGAGAAGATAAGGGAGCTTTGGTCACAACGATACCGTTCGACAGTATCAAACCTTGGCAATAATGGTACTAAAATGACTAGAGATCAGATAGCCAAACTGAATTTAGCTGACTTGGATGCTACACGACACGACTCTCGGGCAATGAAGTCGATCTCCCTGCTTACTATAATTTTTCTCCCAGCGTCATTCATAGCGTCGCTATCCTCAATGTCTTTCCTGTCGTTCTCAGATACGAAAGAATCAATTATTGCAGAACCCCATCAACAGTTCTTTCTGATACCAAAATCAAACGGAGCCATGAGTAACCTCGACCAGATCTTAGCATTGACAGGAGGCATCCTTGTTTTACTT